TAAAACCCTCCAGCGTGATTAGCCTCTTTCTTAGTCAATCGACCATTACCTCTACCTACAACGGCGGGATTCCTCACTATGTGTAACCCACGGTCATGGTACTTGTCAAACGTAAAAGATGTGTTAGACTGGGCAACGTGGTTCCATACCTCGCAATATGATGTCACCCGTGAGTTCTTCAAATCTGACGAACGGTATGGCGACGGGGGCGTTGAGGGCGCAAGCAGCGCGATGAATATACAGGGGTGACGATATCCTGAGGGCGTATATCTGGGGGAAAAAGTAAAAGAAAAATATAATGGCAACAAGAATGCGCTTTATGTCAGCTTTGAAAGACACGCAATGTTAAAAAATTATTAGTTACTACACTGTAAATGTATAGAGCTTTATGTTGTTTTTTTATACACTTACTTTCCGATACTTCCAAATGAGCCACGAGGAGTCGAACCCGCATGACAGGTTGTCTTCCACATCCACGCTGCCCTGTACTCTCCAGAAATTGTTGTAAAACCCTCGCGAGGTACATACACGATGTTCGACACCCCATATCTCTGACTATCCATCCGACGGTTCTCTGAGGAAAACACTTGTTGCGTGAGTAGTCATACTCGCCATTTTCTTCCCTCGATAACCTCGTGGTGTTCTGGTTGCTGGGCGGGAGAATGACATGGTAACCCCTTCCTCTACGACCTCGATGATGTCGTCGTCGCGGTTGTCGAAGCAAGGTTGTCCTGTCCCAGACTGTCGGTGCATGACAGTCGCTGATGAGGCATTGGTATTCCTCATCATCCGACGAAAAATATATAAGCATATCATCCTCGGAATGTTCTATAAGAGACATGTTCGTAGGATTTTGCTAGCTCGTTTACGGGTCTTCCTCAGCTAACAATGATGAGTATGTTGTCGCCAGGGCGCCATTTTGTGATAAGCTTAGAGAGAAGGCTGTTTGGTTTTACGCCACCGTGATTGAAAGGCTTTTATATCGTCAACGACTCAATGGAAGACACAGGCAGAGAGAAATGGCGTGTAAGATGGGGAGGTGCATTTTTCTGGCGATATTACGCCGAGTTTATTTGGGAAAAACTGGTGAGACGATGACGACGACACGCACGACTGTGTATTAGAGACACTAAGGGCAGTTAAAACCTGTTGGTGATGTAGTGGCTATGGTTTTGAGGCGGTAGGTAAGTCTTGCGGAAGGGAAAATATGTAGAGACGACGGGGTGAACACTCAACCGACTGCGTATAATAAGGGACGATTAGTTCAACACTCAATGCTCCAATATTCAGTACAGTGTGGTGATCACCGTTATAAGATTGGGCGACTGGTAAAAGTAAAACTTGTGAGACCTCCATTCTAGGACCCAAATTGATTGTTACATCGCTACATTGTCGGATGCCCATTTCTGGTACCCTGCAGCCCGTGATGGCCTCCATATTGATGAAAACATACCCACAACCACTCCCCTCGATGCCACTGTTAATGTAGGCGTTTTTAGCAGGTATTGGAGCTTCACACATTGTACCCGTGTGGAGATTCGAACCCGGGTCTTTGAGCTAATGCTTAACCACGAGGCCAACCCACCGCCCCTACTGCGAAAGAAAGAAAGGATCCAGAATTGTACAGTCTGAAAATCGCAGATTACCCTGAACGTTTGCATAAAGACCTGCAAAATGTGATTGTTGATGTGTCTGTAGGTGACATACTGGGTGGATTTAGTTGTCAGCATTAGGATGTCTCACAGTTAGAAGAGGTCCCTAGGGTTCCGTTCAACACGCAGCGGCTATCGTAAAGTCTTGCTTAGTATATATGGGCGTTGGAATCGCCTTTAAGCTACGGAACCAAGAAACCTACATTTTGTATGCCTAGAGGCGACCTTATCTTTATCGGGGAGGTCAGGCTTCTTTGAGACAAAGGAATTAATAGTAAGTAAATGTCCCGTCTCCGCCCTTGCTTAAATAGCTTCGAATTTCGATCGTAACGCCACTCTGTGTTCTTCCGACTGACCTGTCCGTCAGATTCCATCTATGATAATATCACATGCATATATTTCATTTAGGGCGACCTCTAGCATAATGAAAACAGGTCACACCAAGCGTGAAGTGCATCAGATCATGTGGAGCACTTTAATAAAGCATTAAAGCCTTTTGCAAAAATATTAAGTGGACGACCAGTTGATGGTACAGTGGAGTAAATCCTGCAACCGACTGAAATCTACAGTCACTATGTTGGTTAAGAATCAGACATCGAATTCGTAACGCGACCTTTTGGACTGCGCATAGACGTTTGGCTACAGTCAAACTATAACTCCATGGTGCGAACAAAGGTTGAACTTTACTGTCTTTGGAAATCGGTTATCTCCCCTTGCATCAGGAGGTGCGGTGAGGTGATATGGGATTTAACGTCGTGCTTGAGAACATTTCGCTCATATGGCGACGTGCATGCGTGTGTATGTGTATGTGGCTGCTTGTACTAGCCCAGACTTAAGCTGGTTTTATAGTGCTAGCCCACTGAGATACCATGCCGCAGTGAAGCATGAATACCCCACCAGACACATTATACTGACTCCGAGCTGACCAGTCCTTGTTGTACCCATTAATGCCGAGCGCCAGGCAGGAGACCAACAAGTACCATATTTAACGTCTTTTGGTATGACGCGGTCGGGGATCGAACCCGCGACCTTCCGGTCTCCGGACGGACGCTCCTAACCACTACACCACAGAGGCGGTCCCTTGCATCAGGAAGCTGTCCTGGCCGTGGATCGCTATTCGTAATATAAATCAATGGATTGTCTAGTCCGGACTCGACTATTCTATATAGCTGGAATGTATCTGACTGCGGTCTTTAAAAAGAGGTTTATGTGGTCAGTAAAGCCTTATGTCTTCCTACAAACAAGGAATATAGTCTCTTTACTATAATACTTTGGAACCAAGGAAGCTGAATCTAGGGGTTTTACCAAGATCAAATAATAAAATATCGAACATGTTTTTCCTTATTTCGAGGATGTTAAAGAAATGACCATTTTGGGGGGGTTTAAATGTTGCATATTTTTCATCTACTTCAACAACTTTTAAATTAAGTATTTCGCTAAAATATTCCGGTTAAGTTGCATTCATAGTCGTGCAGATAAAGTTTGATGAAGTAGAAACCGTTCCATCAGTCGATCTGGTTGTATTGTTATGCTTTGGAGTGTTCAAAATACCTGCGATTGTCCTTTGACGAAAGGCTTTCTTCTGCTTGTACAGCTTATGCCATATACATGTGTACATGACAACAAGAGCCCATGCAGTCACTACAAACAAACATATCTGAACACAAGAGTCTATCAGATGGGGACGAGTTCCCCCTTCTCCGTCTGCAAGGTAACAAAGGTGGCGTTTGATTGAGGCAGCGAGTGAAGGGTTGGGCCATGGATGATGGCAGGAGGTGGTGGTGGTGGAATTGAGTTTAACGTCGTGCTTGAGAATATTTCTGCTCATATGACGACGTGCATGCACGTATGTGTATGTGCGGCTGCTTGTACTAGCCCAGACTTAAGCTGGTTTTATAGTGCTAGCCCACTGAGATACCATGCCGCAGTGAAGCATGAATACCCCACTCAGACACATTATACCGACTCCGAGCTGACCAGTCCTTGTTGTTCCCATTAATGCCGAGCGCCAGGCAGGGACCAACAAGTACCACATTTTAACGTCTTTTGGTATGACGCGGTCGGGGATCGAACCCGCGACCTTCCGCACTCCGGGCGGACGCTCTAACCACTACACTATGGAGGCGGTCGATGGCAGGAGGTATTGTTAGAACCAACGTCGCTGCACACGCCGCCCCACAACCTGCCTTTGTATGGAAGATTGTCATCTGTCTGACGAATGGTTTGCATATCTTTAAATATCTGTCAACCGCAACTGGTAAAGAATTCCTGCGGATGCCAACGGAGAAGAGCGTGACAGTCATTGTGGACAGCCTACAGAGGTTGGACAATCCGAACGTGGCATGATATCTCATTTGTACGATCTTAAGAGGCATGCTCAGAGAACAGTTCAGAATGTCAGGATTGCTGGTGTTACAATGAAATACCCTTGTCGTGCTTGGTTTGAACAAGATACACGTAGCAGACCAGCGAGTTACCAACCACACCAACCAACATACACACAGCTACAAACACTATGGCCGGGCGATATCTGAGGCGTACATGTCGTCATACTGATGTAGGTACATGGGGCTGTTTCGTCTTGTGCCATCGTTGAGTCGGTATCCTGAATATGAACGGCGACTATAAAATGAACATATACTGCATGAAAACAATGAAAGCTTTCACGGAAACCTTTAAATAATGGTTATTTTTAAACACTTCGTTGTATAGCGTAATGGAGGGGTGTTGTTCTCGAACAGAATTGCCATCTTCAATCAAGGGAATCATCAAGGGTATCATCCATTGATTGAGGGAGGCAATTCTGTACTAAGAACGGCGCCCCTCCGTAATCTATGATCGTGTAGGGTGCTAAACCTGTAAAACTTACATTGCTTTACTGCAAACATGGTCATGCTTTGCAAAATTAACTTGAGACGTTTTGTCCATCCTTCCACTGCTTGTGGTTAGTGAAAATAAAGCCACCATTTAGTGTCTTGGTACAGCCTAAGTATTTGTAATCCATAAATATCACCAATGTGTCGTTTGATATCAAATATGTCAACGTTGGTCAATAAAAAGAAGAAGAACATGTTTCGAGACTGTTTTATTCCAACGATCATATGTGACAACAGGAAAGTGAGTCTTTATGAAGTCCAACATAAGATATCTGCTCTAATGTGAAAATGACAAGATAGGTCTCCTGAATTCTTCGCATATTATCTATAATTATAGGTGAAGGAAATCTTTATGAAATGGTCATTTCTGACATGATTCAGAAATTGCTACATGAGTAACGATCAGATACCATATGTCTTACAACGAGGAGTTTCAACAGTCTAACGGACGAAAGCGAGTTTGATAGAGTTGAAAGATAAATGAAATCTGATGGGTGCAGAATCTGTTTCTTACACAAAACCACAGTTTTAAAATTGCAACGACACCTTCTAGTCACTTTTCATTATCACAGTAGCGCATTAATACATAACACAAAGATCATTTGTGACGTCATCTGACTACGTAATACTCATACGTCATGTGACCCTCGACGTTGACGCTCCCTTTAAACATAGTATTTATCAAGGCGAAAATGAAAACTAGATAAGTCTCAAGAACATTATTAACAAAATCATAACGTCTCGACTGGGCCAAAGCACGACAAACGTGCATGTGTCATGAAAAGCAGTCCGTAATAATCTGACCTTAGGGTCATCATGGAGTAAACCTGACACGTACTTAGGATGCGATCTCACGCGTTTGATACGTTATCGCACTTAGGTTTCTCATCCACACGTGTGAAAGAAAACAGACTGTCAATCGTAGTCATGGTTTCGAGTCAACTGCAGCATGCATCAATATCAGACTGAAGAAAAGGTTGGTTGCAGTATTCAATGAAGCCAGTGTGTAACAGCGTGGCATTTTTCCATGCAATATATTATTATTATAATATCATATTTCTCTTCGTTAGTCGTTGTACAGAAGTACATCTACCTGTCCTGAGAAAACCTTTGTTATTGTTTATACATCCAAGTTTTATCGCAATTAACGCATAGATGGAACCACACTGAATATCAGCCAAATGTTTTTTCACTTAACAAAGTGTTCAACTTCTATCTATGTTCCATGGTTTCATCTTGTATCTCACATGTTTGTCTCAACGAAAACAAGAGACCACTAAATTCTTCGTTTCATTTCTGAATCTTTCATTGCAGAAACTGTACACAATGCAGTTAAATGCACTGTTTAAAAAGTAGGACCGTAGGAATATATTATACGTTATGATCCCGGCTCCTTGCAAAGAGTCCTCAAAGTTGGATTTAACAAAAGAAGCTATCATCAGGATCAGGTGGGGTAAGAAGCTGATGATGAATACAGCTGTGATGATGAACAACATAAATGTTGTTTTCAACGCTCTGGGTCCTGATTGTGGTTTTGAAGCCTTATTTCGTGTAGATGTCACTATGTTCGAGCATTTGTCTGCACAACGTGTTTGGGGTTTCGCTGAAGTGTCATTCACATCTGAACAACTTGTCTCGGACGAATCATCGAAACCATGATTTGAATTGGAAACATCTCCAAAGGCTGTGGATGGCGATACTTTACGGAATGACTGCCGTGCAGATCTGATGCCCTTCCCTTTATCTGACTACTCTTCTCATTACCAGAGTACTTCTTCCCGTTCTTCTCTGTACCAGCTTCAAATGACGTCTCAGTGTGATGTTCGGTATCCCTTGATGGGCGGAATTTGAATCTCCGGTGAATAAAAGCAGTCCTGCCAATAAAGACGTACATAAACACCAAGATACCCAGAGAACTAAAGAAGATGAGGAATAAGACTCCGATGTGTAGACCAACGGAAACAGAGTTTCCGTGGAGAAGACTGGCAACATGCTGGCCATATTGTTTGGTTGAACACCTGAAATGATAGTATAAGGCATTTATGATTCTCTGAAGTGCCACATATATATCCCTGAAATGTGATATTTACCAAACTAAGAAGTGAAAACTGTCCTTTAATCATAATCTCTTTTCAGAGATATTCAAAGTACGACCAACTTTAAGATTTCCAAATTTCCGTGAAGCACAACTAATATCCTTGGAGAATCAACAGCACACGATATAAAGATATTCTTAACCAATATTTTCCCGTTTTTCACCCGTTCTAAGGAAAGAAGTATACAGTTAGGATTAGAAATAAATCTGTCAAGAATCCAAAGCACATACATGTGACCCGTTAATGCCATCGCTGGACTGCCTGGCCCTGTCGATCATTCACAGACCGCCGTTATACAGCTGGAAAGATGCTGAGTGCGGCGTTAACCGGCACACAAACATACAAAACATCTTCATAAATAGCCCCTCATTACTATAGCTACTGTAACAGAAGTGATCACTATTTCAGGGATACTCCAAATTCAGAAGTACACGTTACATGTTCCAACTAAGAATACTAAGAATCTTCTGATTTATCGTGTGATTAACCTTGACAATCATGTATAATAGGCAAATTATAGGCAATCACAAATAGCAACCGTTCCATCAGTCGATCTTTGATATCTGGTTGTATTGTTATCTTCAATCAAGGGTATCATCAAGGGTATCATCCATTGATTGAGGGAGGCAATTCTGTACTAAGCCCCTCCGTAATCTATGATCGTGTAGGGTGGTAAACCTGTAAAACTTACATTGCTTCACTGCAAACATGGTCATGCTTAGACAGTGGACAGTGTTGCCAGAAACGTCAATCATCCTTTCAAAGATTATCACACCTTCGCTTGGAATAACAGTCAGTCTTTCAGCAAAGCTCATATTAATTGACACAAAGACCGTAATGATGAGGTAAGGAAGGAAACTGAGGAGGAATACGAGACTAATTAGGAATAACATTAGTGTCATCTTCTTTACTGCATTCTCTTGGTGAGAAGACATTGTTGCATTCGTATAACGAACTGGTACTCCACTGCTGGGCGAACTCGTAAAGACACGCTGTTCACGTTCACTGTTGAACGTACTGGAATCTCTTTCAGGATCATGGCTGTTTGTTGTCAGCTTGGGATACCGGTGAAGCTTGCATTCATAGTCGTGCAGATGAAGTTTGATGGGAAGTAGAAACCGTTCCATCAGTCGATCTGGTTGTATTGTTATGCTTTGGAGTGTTCAAAATACCTGCGATTATCCTTTGACGAAAGGCTTTCTTCTGCTTGTACAGCTTATGCCATATACATGTGTACATGACAACAAGAGCCCCTGCAGTCACTACAAACAAACATATCTGAACACAAGAATATATCAGATGGGGACGAGTTCCCCCTTCTCCGTCTGCTAGGTAACAAAAGGTGGCGTTTGCTTGAGGCAGCGAGTGAATTGTTGGGCCATGGATGATGGCAGGAGGTATTGTTAGAACCAACGCCGCTGCACACGCCGCCCCACAACCTGCCTTTGCATGGAAGATTGTCATCTGTCTGACGAATGGTTTGCATATCTTTAAATATCTGTCAACCGCGACTGGTAAAAGAACTCCTGCGGATGCCAACGAGAAGAGCGTGACAGTCATTGTGGACACCCTACAGAAGTTGGACAGTCCGAACGTGGCATGATATCTCATTTGTACGATCTTAAGAGGTATGCTCAGAGAACAGTTCAGAATGTCCAGGATTGCTAGTGTTACAATGAAACACCTTGTTGTGCTTGGTTTGAACTTGCGCAGATAGACGTAGCAGACCAGCGAGTTACCAACCACACCAACCAACATACACACAGCTACAAACACTATGGCCGGGCGATATTTGAGAGCGTACATGTCGTCATACTGATGTAGGTACATGGTGCTGTTGTCGTCTTGTGCCATCGTTGAGTCGGTATCCTGAATATGAACGGCGACTATAAAATGAACATAAACTGCATGGAAACAATGAAAGCTTTCACGAAAAACTTTAAACAATGGTTATTTCTTAAACACTTCTGTTGTATAGCGTAATGGAGGGGTGTTGTTCTCGGTACAGAATTGCCACCTTCAGTCAAGGGTATCATCAATGGTTTGACTGATTGGGGGGGCAATTTTGTACCGAGAACAGCGCGCTCCTCCGTAATCTGTGATCGTGTATTTTAATCCTCCAGGTTCGCCATGACAGAGGATGGTAAACCTGTAAAACTTACATTGCTTCACTGCATACATGATCATACTTAGACAGTGGACAGTGTTGCCAGAAACGCGAATTGCGTAATAGTAATACAATAAAGAATTAATGTAGTGATTCGTCGTAAAATATACCCATTTTATAAATAGACAGATGTTTTAAGCTTTGTCTCAGATATAATGGATGCAAGATGTCGTATCCTAGAATCGTACTTTACCTGTGCTCACTGACAGCTCATCCCTTGCAGTTTTGTCCTTAGCTGGCAGTGCTTTTATTGCTAGTCGCCAGTGTTGAGTGAAACCTTTGTATCAACCAGGATGTGTTCCACGTTGTACACATTTCATTTGTGAAAAGAGGAGTTCCCACATGTAAGTGAAACATGCTTTGTGTATTTAGTCATCATATCTGCATTTACCTGACCCATCTGTCTATGTACTTCGTGAGTCACACCTGTACATGTAACTGTAGTTTACATTCCTGAGCTTTATGGTGAATGACGAGTGTGTTGACTAGGTCACGCCCTACGCTGCATAAGCATACATGAATCTTCACATTGAACTAGGGCTTCAAGTCGACTCGCACATGAAGCATTTTAGGCACCACAATCAAGCCCTTAACTAGAGTCTTACATTGACGTTTTTACACATGGACTTCCAATCATGCATTTCAGTGAGCAATAATCACTTGCTGACTTGAAACATAAGTATCGATCTCTGCTGTCAAAAGAAAGATGCAGGGAAGAAAAAGGAGTCATGAAAGCAAAAAAAAATGTATATATACAAATATAGTTATATGTAATAGTACATCTTTACCTGTTTTCCAATCTTTGCAAACAGTAAATACGTATGTACTGTCCAATCTCCTTGCAATATTTATACACACTTAAAGCTTAGATGCAACCCAAAAAATAAATATAATACAAACACACTTATCATTTATTCATGGTATATAATATACATTGCTGATTATGAAAAGAAATATACAAAATTATAAGCGTACAATCGCAAATCAAGTGCAATATTTTGTACTTGGGTTTACTTTCCCTGAAACGAAGCACCCAGAGATACCGAATCCAGTCAGAGCGGGTAGGCGTGCACTTTAGTGTAGCGAAGTCTTTCATTGGCTGGTTCTTTTGCCGATACACCTAGGGTTCTTTTGTGTGTATAGAGATGGTTTTGTAAATACATGCTCATTTTTGTGTTTAACATTTTGTAAATCAACAGACATCATAACATGTCATGTGTACAAGTATCACACTTGCCTGTCTGTGTAATTACAGAATGTGACAGAGACTGAACTCGGGTGCACGAGCCCTAAATTAATGCGTTTGTTTATGGTGTATAGCCTGATAGGTGTTAAGTTCAAATTGCATGTGGTCAGTGATCGAAGTTGTGTGTTGCATATTGTCATTAGCAGACAGGCAGGAAGACACATAGGTGTCAATAAAATAATGACATTGCTTTTAAGTATCGAACTGAGAGAAGTGACTCTATAAGAAGAACGATGTGGTGAAATAGTCAAATGAATTATTATATAAACAGTTAAATCAGCAATCTACTGTCATAACATATATAAAAGCTCTCGCGACTGTGAAATATCAACAAAACATTAGAAAAAAGCTCACATCAAAGCCTACTCAGTACTCACCGCCAGCGAAGGTTTTCTGTCTTGAACTGTCAAACGAAGATCACTGGTTGACACAAAAGCTGAGTGTAGATCTAGATCCTTAACAAGGTTATTTTATGCGAAAACGAATAGATTATTTTACTATTTGCTGTTTGTGAACGCCAATAAGATTAGACTAATCCTGCTCCGACCATATAATTCTGGCATCCAACTTCCGAAGCTGCGCGAACCTATTCACTGCGCATGTGCTATAAGTGCAGCGCAGCACAGACTCGATGAAACAACTTTTCACCCCAGAGCTGGGGTGCATTTAGTGAATCGTTTGAACTCCAATTTCGCGGGGGTGGGGTGGTGTGGGTGGGCCAGTCATCGCGTTATTTTTCAACTTAATAAGTTCAGAATTTGCATATTTGATAATAATTTATTTACTGTAAGTCCATACCGAAGGGTATCAGAATCTGCAAAGCTGTGTTTGCGTTGCGTGTGACGTTTAACGTCAATACCAATTATCTAGAACACATGCAAAATTGTTCTGTAGATTTTTAGCAAAATTAACTTGAGACGGTTTGTCCATATACCCGCTGCTTGTGGTAACTGGGGAAACATAGCCAGCATTTAGTTTCTACGTATAGCCTAAGTATTTGTAATCCATAAATATCACCAATGTGTCGTTTGATATCAAATATGGTCATCTTTTAATGGTCATATGTGAAATCATGACTATGAGGTTTTATGAGTCCAACATACGATATCTGCTCTAATTTGAAAATGACAAGATAGGTCTCCTGAATCCTTCGCATATTATCTATAATTATAGGTGAATGAGATCTTTATGACATGTCATTTTCTGACATGATTCAGAGATTGCTACATTGGTAACGGTCAGATAATATTAACAAAAAATCATAACGTGCAGACTGGGCGTAAAAGCCAAAGTACGACAAACGTACATGTGTCATGAAAAGCAGTTCGTGATAATCTGACCTTAGGTCATCACCATGGAGTAGCCTATCACGTACTTTCACGAGTTGATACCAGATATCTCACTTAGATTTGTCATCCACATGTGTGAAAGACAGCAGCCATCAGCGAAGTCAAATCGTTTCGAATCAACTGCAGCATGTGTTAATATCAGCGTCTGAAGAAAAGGTTGGTTGCAGTGTCCAATGAAGCCAGCGTGTAACTGTAATGATGCATAGGTTCCATTCGATATGTTATAGCCGAGAACGTCACAATTAGTCACATGTTTCTTCGTTTGTGGCTGTACAGTTCCTCATGTACCCGTCCTAAGCAAACCTTTTGTCACTATTTATGCATCCCGGTTTCATCCCCAATAACGTCTGGAAGGATCCGCACAGTAGTTCAGCCAATGGTATACCTATTTCACTTAGCAAACCCCTATCTATGTTCCATGGTTTCATCTTGTATCTCACATGTTTGTCTCCAACGAAAACAAAGAGACCACTAAATTATTCGCTTCATTTCTGAATCTTTCGTTGCAGAAACTGTACACAATGCAGTTAACTGCACTGTTTATATAGTAGGAGCGTAGGAATATATTATACATCATGATCCCGGCTCCTTGTAAAGAGTTCTCAAAGTCGGATTTAAAAATCGAGTTATCATCAGGATCAGAGGAGGTAAGAAGCTGATAATGAATACAGCTGTGATGATGAACAACATAAATGTTGTTTTCAACGCTCTGGGTCCTGATTGTGGTTTTGAAGCCTTTTCGTGTAGATGTCACTCTGTTCGAGTATTTGTCTGCACTACGTGTTTTGGGTTTCGCTGAAGTGTCATTCACATATGAACAACTTGTCTCCGACGAATCATGGAAGCCATGAGATTTGAATTGGAAACATCTTCAAAGGCTGTGGTTGGCGATACTTTACGGAATGACTGCCGTGCAGATCTGATGCCCTTCCCTTTATCTGACTTCTTCTCATTACCAGAGTACTTCTTCCCGTTCTTAACTGTACCATCTTCAAATGACGTCTCAATGTGATGTTCGGTATCCCTTTGATGGGCGGAATTTGAATCTCCGGTGGTTAAAAAAACAGTCCTGCCAATGAAGGCGTACACAAACACCAGGATACCCAGAGAACCAAAGAAGATGAGGAATAAAACTCCGATATAGACCAACGGAAACAGAGTATCGCGCCATCTGTCGTCAATGGAACACTCGAAGCCATATATTTCCCTCATTATCTGTTTTGACCGTTTTTCTACGCATAGACTATCACTGTCGGGATGGTGAGGACAAGCTTGATACAGACACAGCGATTCCAACCATGATGCGGGCGGCTGTGATGGTGATCTGTTTGTTTAATGGTCGACATATCTTCCTGTATCTGTCTATCGTAACGGCTATGAGCGTGCATCCCGAGGATACCACGGAGAACGAATTGTTGAATCTCAGCATTTTGCATACGTTTGGGTAGTTGAACGTATGGGTGTACCTCATGTCCAGGATCTCTCCTGGGAGTGAAATGAAGCTAGGTTATGAGGTCAAACACAGACAGACAATACATACAAAACACACGGGTCGGGCTTGGTTTTGAATTTCTTGAGGTACACAATCAACACCAGGATGTTCCCGAAAATACCCAGAACCATCAGCATGGCTGGTAGATATACCACGGCTGGTACACCATCAAACGAAACGTCGTGTCGTCAAGGTGGGACAGATAACGTCGCTTCTCCTCATCGCTGATGTTTAATGATGATGTCACTTCCGCTGTTGTGATGTTCTTCACCGAAAGTGTCGTTTCCGTGGAAACGACTGCAACATGCTGGACATATTGTATGGTCGAATACCTGAAATAATAGTATTAAGCATTTATGATTCTCTTGAAGTGCCACATATATATCCTTGAAATGTGATATTTACCAAACTAAGAAGTGAAAACTGTCCTTTGATCATAATCTCTTTTCAGAGATATTCAAAGTATGACAACGTTAAGTTTCCCAAGCTTCTGAGAAGCACAAGTAATATCCTTGGAGAATCAACAGCACACGATATATAGATATTTTTAACTATTATTTACCCGTTTTTCACCCGTTCTAAAGAAGGTAGCAGCTATACAGTTGCTATTTATAAAATTATCAG